ATACCTATGTTTAGTAAAACTTAAATAAAACTTACAAATATTTAGTTGTAAAGACTGATCAGCCACTATCTATCGTACAAATAAATAAATATAAAAATTTGACGATTTGTACTCGCACAATATATAGTGATTAGTGATATAAAAAAAATATTAAGGCGATTCATACCTTTAAAAACTTAGCGAATATGAAAATTTTTATTATTGGAGTAAAACACAAAAAGTATATTTAAATAAATGTATGTTGATGCTGACGCGTCAACAAATGAAACGGAATAAAATTAATTACAGTCGTATTTACAATAATATATTTGAGCAGCCGGTTCGCGGCCCACAATTCTCATTTTATCTGTTTTATTATATAATTCATAACACACATTTAATGATTATAAAAATAAAACAGTGATTTACGATATTGATAATGTGTGTGAGATCAGCTATTTTTCTTGTGATAAAAATTATTATTTATTGTGTGATATGTTGCGGTGGTATAAATGTATTTATATAATTTTATTAAAATCTTTAAAACACCCAAGTGTGAAAGTATATGATAATATTTACATATTTATACACGAAGTTTCATCAACTAATTTAAACAAAGAAATTTGACGAAATATATTTTAAGCTATTGCTATACCATTTATTGGAAAAAAATACTTATGAGAAATTAGTTAATATTTTTAAATAGATAGTTTAACAGTATTTATAAAACATGGTTTGCAATGGTAGTTTTAATTATAGGTAGTTAATTACTATTAAATATATTTTTGCTCGGTTTACTATCTTTAAAATTGATTACAGTAATTTTAGAATAGAAACTTAGGTGGTTTAATTAAATTACATAGATATGCATTTTTTCAATGGAGTTTTTAATAACTATTAACTGAGTAAAAGACCCACAGTATAAAAAATTTCCCTTTGATATATAAATCATTAGCTCTAGCGCTTTAATAATTTAGAAATATATATATATTCATATTTATTTGTATAAAACCATATAGATTTCTATACAACTTCCATTAATGACAGCAAGACAATACAATATAATAGAATGGAGCTCACAGTTGGCCTCGAAGGTGATGTATTCCTGGTTAATATATTCATGTTTACTTTTCGGTAAGTAATCTTAATGTTAAAAATATAATAATAAAAAAAGGAAAATATGTTGTTATGATATTTGTTCATTTATAATATTTAATAGATGTAAAAACTATACAGTATATACACTAAAAAAATAAAATTGAAAATGTCAAATGTTTTTAAATAGCTCAAAAAGAAATATTTTGTGACAATGATAAATTACAATAAAATTTTAAACTGCTTAAGGAGATACAGTTTATACGATTAAATATTTATTGTTATAAGACTTTGAACTTCAAACGACTGCAAAATATTCATGTAAAAAAATTCATTAATGAATGGAGAAATGGGATATATATATATATATATATAATATAATTTCTATTAACTAGTACAATACTTATGTTGAATAATAATAAAACTTTTAATGATTATCCTCAAAATTGTTAATTATTATTTAGAAAGTAGAAAATTGCATTAATTTTTATAATTATATTTTTAATTTTTTTTAAACATATAATTACATAAATTTAATACAAAATTAAGCTATTTATCATAATATGCTGTTATAATATAATAATCATATAATATACAGTTTATTTTAAGGATTTAAAAATGATATATTTAATCTACTAAACATAAGACTATAACGCGTTTCTTTTGGGTCTTGACCTCTGACGTAATTTTCCGAGTATTGTTCAATGGTATTTTCCTACACGAATACCCAATTATTTTTTTCCAAGATATGTTGATATGAATAGTAATTAAAATATATTATTAAGCTTACAACAACAATATTTGGGTGTAGGTAATAACCTATAAACGATAATATTCGAGATCATTATGAAGTTATTATATGGAAATGATATAAAAATTCATTTTGTACTTTGTAGACATTCTAAATTATTGTATCTAGCTATTAGCTATAATGTATCATATACTTGTTTGATATTTAATCTATAATATAAAATATATTATAAATGTGTAAATAACGTTTGTATAATAATATAACAAAATATGTAAACAATTTAACATGTATATATATATTTAAATAGAATTACTATAAATTTACTTATGTACATATAAATTGTCAATAAAATTAATGTATAAATGTATACGCCTACCAATATATTCAGAATAACCAGTATTACATGTATTATTGTATACCTATTACTTATGTTAAAATACCATTAGCTGTTAAATATAACAGTAGGACTGTATAATCAATTTTAAAACAAGTTTGTTTATTAAATTAATATTCATTACCTATCTACGTAGTGTGTCCTTTGGTCGATCATATGGACGTAGCTGTAGATATAGATGGTACATGATAATATCAACAAGCATAATATTATAACCTGCATTCTGCAATACTAATTTAGAAGATTTAGCGTAATGTGTTGTGTAGTTGGAATTGTGATATTTTAATCATTAATATTATATTATATTAGATATTATTTAGAGATCGTTTAAAAAATGATATGTATATCTGATTAAGTTCAAAATTAATTCATTCCTTACAGATATTTCTCAGTGTTTATTATACGTTACAGTAAGATAAAAGCTACATGATTGTTAATTTACTGTAAAATATTGTTAAGTGTCTAGTGGCGTTCATTTGATTCATTTAATATATTATTATACATTTTTGGACCAATATTAATTCATCATCGACTATGAAAATGACGTATTCCTGGTTAATATATTCGTGTTTAATTTTTGGTACGTAATATCTTTGTTAATGTTGTTTACAATGTAGTATTAAACATGTTATTTATATAATAATATTCAATAAAATAGTTAGTTACACGAAAAAAAAAAAATGTAGTTAATACAATTATCAATCCATATTGATATAAAAATATAATTTTTCGAAAACAATAGTGTATTAAACTAAATTACTGTTCGACAAATATTAATGACAATACAAATTTAGCTAATTTTTAAAATGTATGAAAATAATATTCTGTTACTGTATGCTATATATTGGTTTTGATTTTAATTATACTGACATTATTATTTAATGATTGATAATATATTAATAAATTAAGATAAAACATACTTATAATTTATAATTACCAATTATTATATAGTCTGTTTTATCTATTATTATCAAACTGTACATGAACAATATTATGTTATTTGTGTGGTCAAAAAGTAAATATTAATTTATTTTTGTAGTTAACATTAAAATTATTTTACTAATTTATTTTATGTATTGTCTTATAAAATGTTTTATGTTTCTTTTATGTTTGTGAAAATGTTCAAAAATTAAGTTTTTATATCATAGTTTAACATTTTTTTTTTTAGAACCGGAAACCTATTGTGAGTGTAATTATTACACAAGTCCTAAATTTTTTATGGAGACCAATTGGTCCTAGTCCCTTAATAAATACAGTTTATTATTTTTAATTTGAGGAGTAAATGTACAATCTATACCATATGATATATTCATAGATATAATAGAAAGAACTAAAATTCTCGTTTTATGTGAAATGAAAAAAAATGTACTTAAATAAAAATATATGGTAAAGAATGAAGCCAATCTTTCTATTTTGAGCTAATATAATTTTATAATAATGATTGTAGGGTTTAAGTATTAATTTCTTTTTTAACTCAATTAATATTATTTATTTAAAACTAAAACGTAGGATAGAATATGTACGGTATAAAACCATAAAAATATAGGGTATCTCTAAGAGAACGCCGGATTTAAAACTGCTATAGATCAAATGTATTTATGTAAAATAAAAAAAAAAACCAAACATTCTCTTTAGAAGAAATCGGGGTTCAAACATGAAAAATAATATCGGGCATACGGCCCCCCTCTAACACGCGTTCACTCGATACATGAAATTTTTCACCCGAAAAATGTCCCATCAAGTACGTGGTGACTAAATCTACCCTCGATCTTGTGATTTGTCACCGTGTGATTTTTTCTACGGATACACTAAGTCACGATATTACTAGAACAAACCACGCAATTTGTTGAATCTTAATGAAGAAATGACTCTACGAACTTGATAGGGGCAATATGTAATCGGGCGATGAAGGATTTCATAGACCGATTGATCGCGTGTAGGTCTAGTAAGTGAAACGATTATATGCCTGATATTATTTTTGATGTTTAAACCTCAACCTAAGAAAATAATAGGTTTTTTTTTAGTTATTTTTACATAAATAAATTTGATCTATAGCAGTTTTAAATCTGGTGTTCTTTTTAATATATCTTATATTAAACAGAAAATTTTGATATTTAATATTTTACTAGTTAACACTGCAAATTGTTTCAGGCATAGGCGTTTTTTGTGACAGAAAACCTGAAAAACGACAAACCGTACCATCTTGCACAGTGTTGGTAACTATAATATTAATTATTATTATTATTTAAATAAGACGTATTCAAAATAGGGTAACTTGTGGGAAGGCGTAGATCCCTGAGGTTTTTACCAGCCACACATAAAATAATACAAAAGCTATTTAATACACAAAATTATTATATATATTATAAACAAACTTGATACATTTCTTATGACATTTTCTTGAAAATTAATATCATAAATATTTAAAATGCGTGCTGTCATATATCTTTTATATCACTTATAATATCTTCTTTTTTAACCTATCTAATTGTATGATTACACACATAGTAATGGTCAGTCATTAGTTTTTAGTGTTTTTTGACATAAAATTTTTTTTATATTTATATATTTCACTATAAATTTTAGAAAAAAAGAAAATATATAATAACACAAATATGCTTATAAATGATTTTCTTCCGAAAAATAATAATAGTTATTATTTCCTAAAATTACATTTTAATATTAATTATAGAGCTTCTTGATCTAATTATAGCCACTGCAATATAATTAATTATCAATTTTAAACCATTGTTTGTTGCATATTTGAATTTATAATTACAGAAATCCCGAGGACGTGTTTAATTGTACAAATGGACTATGCATCGAGTCTTCGGCTATTTGTGACGGTCATGCTGATTGTTCAGACGGTTCAGACGAGACCAGTGATTTGTGTTCTAGACAAACGTAAGGAATAAATATGTCTATAACTTACAGCTACAAAATATAGTAATAGCTGTATTTAATATTATGTATCTATTGACTATTTGTATAATATAGATGCCGAAGTTATGCATATCGATGTAAATATGGAGCTTGTGTGGATAAAAGTGTAAAATGCAACGGTAAAAACGATTGTGTTGATGGATCTGATGAAAATTTACCCGAATGTAAACAAAGCTCTATAAACAGTAATCAACATTCCAATGGTTCATTTATATGCCTGTACGTGGTTTTTAAACATACTTAGTTTTATTTAAATTTATTAAACATTCATTTCATTAAACTAAAACCATATCACCGAATATTAATTTGTAGACATAATATGCATATTATACAGTTAGATACTTATTTGTTATTTAAATCTAATAATTATTTATTATTAAGGCATAATATTTAAACGTGTAATGATATTTTGCTCTTAATACTTGTATAATAACTAATTAATAAATAATTATATAAATTATATTTTATATTTTATATCAATAATTATTGATTTATAAAATCTTACACATATTTATATTTGTTTTTATTTTTGTTTAAAGCGAAGAACAGTATCAATGTAAATCAGGCCAATGCATTGATGGAACATCAACTTGTGATGGAACTCGAGATTGCAAGGACGGGTCTGATGAAACTTCAGCATTATGTAATACAGTTCGGTTAGTTGGTTTTAATAAAATGACCATTCAATTTTACTAAATATTTTAAATTGAAGGTGTCAAAAGTTTACATATCGGTGTAAATATGGGGCTTGCGTTAGTAAAGAGAGTAAATGCGATGGCATAAAACAGTGTGCTGATGGATCTGATGAAGAAAAATGTGTTGATCCCAATCCAACCCCTAGACCAACAACACTAAAACCTGTGATAAATACAATTCGACCAACTACGCAGTCTAATACAAAGTATTTATTATATCCTTTTTGCCGTATGAATAACATATGCATTATTTATGGTGTATTTGATGATTTTACAAATACAAAAAAAAATAATGTATTTTTCTAAAAATTAAATTTATTAGTTAGTTATGGCCCTTTTAAACTTAATTTTACCATTTAATTTTTTATTATTGTATTTGATAAAATATATAATCTTTAGCTTTAGATATTATAAGTCTATAGCCTATATGTATGATAAGTATCACTATTTATAGTTATAAGCAAAAGATTATTGAGCATGAATTGTATAACAACCAATTAATCCTCATTATTATTATTTTTGATATTTTATAATTTAAGGAATGTATGCGCTTTACCGACGATCGAAGGAGTTTTATATTCTTACGAAGGTTCAAATGAAATTTTACCTCACGGGACATTGATTAATCAATATCGCACTGTTATCGAGAACTGTGAAGTAGGATATTATAAAGCTTATCCTAAAAGTTTTAGGCTTTGTCAGGAAAATGGAAAATGGATATCGAATTCTGAGAAATTATGTTTCAGTAAGATATATGTATTGTATTTTTTTTTTTTAAATGTAATTGTTACTTATTTAAATTTTGTATTTCCGATGAATGGTTATATTTAGCTATAATTTGTTTATGTTTATAGAAATGTGTCCGCCTCTAATATCAGATAGTTTAAATATTAATTGTACTTTAAATGGTAACTATGCTAATTGTTCAAATCTATCAATATTTGGTACAAGAGCAATACCATCATGTAAACCAACACATAAAATACCAAACGGACAAGATGAGACTCCAATCGAATTACTTTGTCAGTCAAATGGAATGTGGAGTAATCAACTATATAGATGCATTCCACGTAATTTTTTTTTTTACTATATGTGTCTTATTTATTTATATTTGGTTAATTTACTAAACGATTCTTGTATTAAAATGGTTTTGTTTCTATGTGTTTTAAAAATTAAAATTTTAGGTAAACAAATTATAATTGTTTGTAGAAGTATTAAAAAGTATTAAAAAGATACGAGCACAATATTTATTTATTCTCTCAGATCTACATGCAACGTATGTGAATTGTATTATGAAAAAATTGTAAATGATACATTTTTGAGGATTTGGCATATTTGTTTTATATTTTATTAATATTTCACAGTGAATTCGACTATAAAATGAAAAACTGTTATTTTTTATAATTTTTGTAATATGCGATTTTATGAAATTCGCAAAAATTATCTTAAGCCTTCAAAATTATGTTTTATATATGTATATTACTAATTAGTTATAATTATTTAAATAAGTTTTCAAATTTTTTTTAGAATGTGGTAGAGTATATAATGATAGCAGACCATTGATCGATCATGGTAAGACAGCACATATTGGAACAGCTCCTTGGAATGTTGCAATTTATCAATTAAATAAAGAGAACTCCAAGTATGACCTGATTTGCGGAGGATCAATTATTACTCCAAATTTAGTTGTTTCTGGTAAAAACTATCTAAAGTACTTAAGATCTAAGAAGTATAATAATTATTTAAATAACATTTTTAGCTGCTCATTGTTTTTGGCGAAAAGATTTGTTGTCTAAACGAATATCAATTAACGATGGTTTATATAAAATTGGTGTTGGAAAATATAATAGAGATTACACGGTTGTTGATAATGACTTCACTCAAATTATGGATGTATGAAATTAGTGTAAAAGTAGAATTTTAGAAATTAATCATAATAGACATTATTTAGTATAGGTATGTTATAAATCAAACAATTTTATAGGTGGAAACTATTTATCTGAAAGATGGTTATTATGGACCTGATGGGTTCCATGGTGAAGATATAGCTGTTATAGTGTTGAAAAACAAAATATCTATTAGTGTTGTTGTTGCACCAGTTTGTGTTGATTGGAGTGCTAATTATAATGTACCAAATGGAGCTCAAGGAAAGGTTTGTTAATTAAATAATTAAAAATCAAAATTATGATATTATCACAGTTAAGTACTATATTACCATAGGTGTACATAAAATGTAGTGTTTTAAATTATAGAAGAAAAGAATTTAAATTTTACTCATGATGGAGCGAGCAAGCTTAAAAAATCACACTTTTACATGTTATCTATATATATATTTATAAATATTTAAAGTACAATTTTAAATAATATCAATATGTTTTCGGCTAATTGAATACTTATTAATCACAATAGATATAATCATTTACAATAACTAATAAAATCAATACTTTTTAAATATATATTAAATCGTCCATAGTTTGTTGTAAATACATTTTATAAAAGTAAAGGAATTAATTGATAATAAAAATAATAAAAACTAAGATTTTATCTCAACGGAATATTAAATCAACTAATGTTTGGTTATACTTAGAGTGTTACGGCGTACCTTACGAATAATTTGTTAAAGTGGATGCTTTTTAATCAACATTAGAGGTAGGGGAGTCTCACATTATCCCCCTTAACCCTTGCATTTACATGGTTACATTAAAGAAAAGTGGTAGGGTAGAGTATACAGTTATTGGCACTTTAAGCAGATACTCATTTTTAATGAATCATGGAATACAAAATAATTATGATACAATAACTGAAAATAAATGTTTGAATTCCAAATATTCTTATCTTTACTTTACTTAAGAGGTAAAATTGATATAAATATTGTCATTTTCGTTTAAAATAGGTATTTTATCAGTTTTTACTAAAACTACAGTTATTGGCATGTAGTTTTTGTTATAGGCACCCGAGTACATAGCTATTGGCATCTACTATAGTATTTGTTAAAAAATCAAAAATATGTACTTACCTACCTAAAAAATAAATTTATTTCAACTAGGTAAAATACAACTAATAAAATAACAGAATATATAATAATAATAATAAATATATATAATTTTTTTCAATTGATTCTATAATAATTTATTAGTGTGAACGCAATTTCAAATCAAATAGGTACCTACTTTAAATTAATATTTTATTAGAACAATAATTGTATAATACATTTAAATATTATACAAAACTTAAGAATAAAACCCATTTTACTTTTAGTCAATACCTACCTAAAACCATAAGTAACAATGTAGGTATAGGAATTAATAATAAATAAAAAAAACAAAACAATCAGTCTTTAAATTAATTTTTATCACAATTTACAAACTTAATATTTTATAATTTTATAAAAAGTTAGGAATTTGATTAACATCAATAAATTCACCTTTAGATATAACCATAATAAATAATAATGTAGGTATAGAAATCAATAACAAAACAATAAAATAAAATAAAAACAATCAGTCTTTAAATACAATTAATAAACTTAATATTTTCCCTTTTTATAAAAAGACCTTTATTACCTTTAGGTCTTAGTTAATACATACAAATTTAAGATCAAAATAGGTATTATATGTACCTTACTTTAATTTAAGTCTTTTTGGCATATTTTACAAATGAATAAAATAGGTTCATTTTCGCCCATGCCACAGAATTCATCTGTGGTTAAACACTTCAAATGATACATATGTGAACAAAAGACACAATCAACACCTTTCAACAACTCACTTAAATTTCTCCTACAACCAAAACAAAGTCCTACGGTTACATATGTGGTTGGAATATCATTATCTATTTCTTCAACAATATTAGGTGCTATATCATCACATAAACTTTCAGCCAACGCACCACTAGTTACAGTTTCAGATGGTTTTTTCTTATACACAATATCTTTTTCAAATATATTTCTCACAACCTTTGATTTAGTAACAGTTTTTAATTTTTTATCATTGACCAAATTCGATTTAACCAATCTATTATGTATTCTGTTTTTTTTCCTATTTTCTTTTTCAAGCTCAATTTGTTTCTTTTTATCTTCTTTAGACTGGTTCATACTTTTCCAAATTTTAGATGATACAACATATGGTACTCTTTCAATATTACGTTTACCTTTCCTTTCTGGAGTAACTGGCCACACAAGATATGATTCTAAAGGAGAAATTTGAAAAGTTTTTCCATTTAAATGTCTGGGTGTAACTACATTCTTCTCTATACAAATTTCAATTTCATCCTGTTTTCTTGTATTTTCTATTTCATTACTAATAAAATCTGTTTTCTCTTTATTGGCTTCTACACACACATCCATTTTGTTTTGCTTTATTGCATCTTGAAAAACTTCTTTACTACTATCAACAAAACTGTCATCAATTATAGTTACTTCATTTTGGTCTTCTATAAAATCTAATAAATTCTGCTCACCAGCCTCTGAAATACACTTCACACCACTATTTAACATATTTTTATCATTAGATTTAAGTAATTGATACAATTTATATAATGCATGAAATTCTTCACTAATAACATTAGATTTAACAATATCATTAAAATTTTCAAACTTTTTAATACATTCAGGACTTACAGTATTACAAAATTGTTCAAGAGTAAGAGGACATTGATATTGTGTATTATTAATTTCGTTGACAATTCAGTTTTTTTTGTATTAGTACCAAGACATTTTTTAAAATCAATAGAATCAGGATTCCAAGGGTACAATCCACAAGCTTTAAAACCATTAATTAAAGTTTCTGCTTTAACAGTTTCATCAATTACCTTTTTTAATATAGGGGCAAAATATTTTTTAGTTACAGCTGTACTTAAATTATTGTCTTTTCTCCACTCAAACACACCTTTTTTCCAACCAGATTTAAGTGGTCGAAATGCAGCCACATCAGCTGGCTGTAAAATTCTAGTGGAGTTTGGATATAACGCAATTAATATAATATTTAAACTTGTACATAACTCACTTAATTGATAGGTAAGATGGCTTTTGTGGCCATCAACAAATAAAATTATAGGAAATTTTATTCCCTTTTCAACTACAAAAGGGTAAAATATATTCGCAATAAACTCATAAAAAAACTCAGATTTCATCCAACCTGATTCGGAATGACCTATTCCCCAATTGGGAGGAACAGAATTTACAATATCTTGTGGGATTCTCTGATAGTTATAAATTACCATCGGATGGCACATGTCACCAGCAGCATTAAATGTGAACATAACTGTAAGATTTTCTTTAGCATTACCTACTGCTACCTCACAAATATCTTTAACTCCTTTTGGAGCTAAAACTGATTTGGTTTTGGGACATAGCGAAAATCCAGTTTCATCACCATTGAATAATCTAGTGGGATCTTACAATATGTCATCAAGTTTTTCATCTACTAGATATTGATGGATGTCAGAGAACCATTTTTTTATGTCCTTTTCACTAACACATGCACTGGCAGTTGTGAAATGTTCACTTGTTCGGATCGATATCAATGGATGTCTTTGCATGAATGCCCTATACCAACCATTACCTACAAACAAAAATATATTCCTAATACCTACCTACATTTTTACCCATAAACCCATAAAAATTACAAAATCAATACCTGGCATATTATTTTTAAAAGGAGTATGTCTGTTGTTTATATCCAAAAAGTGCTTCACACTCATTTGTAAATCTTCTTTTCTTCTTGGAAAACCTTTTTTACAGCTTTCAATTATCCAAGTTTGTAACAATTCTTCCTCTTTATCTGACAATACAGTTGCTGGTCCACAAGATGTTTTTCCATTTAAATTTTTAAGCCTAAACTGTAGAGTAGATCTTGAAATACCAAATTTTTTTGCAGCTGCTTTTTTACTTAAACCGTCATTTAAAACTGCATTAACTGCAGCAGTTATATTTAACTGACAAAAATTTTCTCTTTTTTTCGGCATGACTAAAATACGACAAAATATACTTTAGATAATTTTAACAATTTTATTGAGTATTGAAATAACATGAATTTAAATGTGAATACTTAAATTAATTTATTTGTCAACAATACATGGTATGCCAATAAAACAATTATGAATTATTCAACTATAATCAATTATTGGCATGGTATGCCAATAACTAAAATCATTAAATATTGATTATAGTTATTATCACCAGAATTAATACGTATATTTATCAAATAAATCAACTTAAAACTATCATTTATGGTTTAAACATGTTCTTAAATATATGAAAACACCTAACATAGGCTTTAAAATATAATTTTCGAATAATAAAACACTATCGCCGTAGACATATAAAGTACAAAATGTATAAGAATATTACCTGTTTTGAATACGAGCCGAGACGTCCGTTTGCTGTTTGGTAAAATATAAACTAAACGCAATCAAATAATAAAGATAACAATTTGGAGCGAAACTTGACCAGTGTCGCCAATTATGTATAAAAAAAAAACTCTTATAAGTCATACACATAACTATTTATTAAATTAACAGTTTTAGGATGCCAATAACTGTACCCGTGCCAATAACAGTATACTCTACCCTATTATACATTATAAAATTATTTTTTATACTTTTACAGATTGTTGGTTGGGGAAGAACAGAAAAACACATGTCGAGTCCCATTTTATTAGAAGCAACTTTACCGTACATCGATCATAATTCTTGTCGAAGCATGTATACAAATGGATTTCAAACGTTTGTGACAATTGATAAATTCTGTGCCGGGTCTGCATTAGGTAATACAATATTTAATTATTAATATTTGAAATCATTTTTTTTTCAACAAGCACAATCCAATTATATACATTGTTGACTTATTTGGTATAACTATTTGGTGAGCAGGTATTTTTCATATCTATTATTGTGTAAGTCTAGGACTGTAAATCCAAATTATTAATAAACTCCATTAAAAATAATGATTTTTTTTTATTTAAAATTAAAATCAATCATTATTCACTTAAGGCAAATTAGTTGTCAATTATATTTAATATTATTATTATTGTTATTATTTTAAAAATTTAACATCAAACATTCAAACTGATTATCGTCTGTTATACATTTTTTTTTTTTAAGGAAGACAATTTACAATCTGTACACAATAATTCATTTGTCATATATATCGTATTACATCTTTCTTTCATAAATGGTCATATGATTAATTTTATTTTATCTCTAATTTCAGGACAGGGGGTTCGTGAAGGTGACAGTGGTGCAGGTTTATCGTTTTTACATTCTAATTTTTATTATTTAACCGGAATAGTAAGTGTCAAGGATCCGAATACAAATAATTCAATTGCAGTTTTTACAGATGTTAATTACCACATTCAATGGATTCGTGAACTGTATAACAAATATACTTCTTATGCAAGTGATAGTATGGTACTTAAAGTTAAATAATTTATTATTTGTGTAATTTAATTCAATATTTTTAAAAATAAATGTTTATTGTTGTGTAGCAATTCTTAACTGTTCATTTTTAACATTTTTGTTAAATTCTATACGATATTTTAAAGTTAAAATATAAGCATTAGATGTATTGATATATATATATGTACTTAATAATTTACATTTATTGAGTTTGAATAATCTTTTACTGTATCAAGTTTTTCATTTTTTCAACTAATTGATTCATTGTTATTATTAATGTACTTGATTTTTAAAATAGCTACTTATATTTTTATTTTTTTACGTTAATTACGTTTAAATATTTTTTTGTATTGGTTTTTAATAATGTTTTTTGCTTCAAAACTAACCTAGATACTTGTGAAAAAACATAAATATTTTAATTAAATTTATTTTTAATAATTAATAAGTTTGGAGGCCACTGGCTACGTTCATTTTCTTATTTATTTACAATTTTTACATTTTGAAAACTTGTTACTATTTTGGTATTTATTTATTCCTTTAGAATTTCATTGAGAGATATTTCAGTTTCTCGAAAGCTCTTAAAGATTAAAAACTTATTAAAAAATGTAGATTCCAAATCGGTTTCATAGGTTTCAACTAAATTATGAGCTCTTGTTTTTATTTCATCATCTTTTGTCAGTTAAAAAATTAAATGTTTTGTCTTATCTTAGATAACCATTTTTCATTTTTCCATTTCTTCAATCGATTTGTCAATTATAATATAAAATGTTTTAATTTCTAGTACTTATTTGATCTACAGCATCAATTACGTTTCCATCATTTACCGAGACTTTATGATACGTTAACAAACATTAAGTGTAAATATACGAGTACCTAATATCATTATTTTTGCCTGTAAATTACAGAAATTTTTATAAAAAAAAAAAAGGATATTACAAAAAAATTGTAGCTATACATTTTCGTAGGCCCAAAAATGTTTGTAGGTTCTAGGCATAGTGCCAAATGACTAATGCTGCCCTGTGAACGGCAGTTCCAATAAGGAAGAATACAAACTGAATAACCTACTTAAATTCTACAGATCAAACATCATGTAAATTTTAAGTGACTGGTTTCAAGCAGAATATTGGGTTTTGGAAAATGTATTATTTGTTATATTAGGTCAATAGAATAATCTATGTACAAATATTTATTTTGAAAATTAAACTTTAGGGTAGTGGAAACATAAGATGGTAACACGAATACTTCTTATAATGTTGCTAAAGTAGCAAATATTTATTTTAAAAACAGTAAGAATTACTAAACTTTTACTTCTGATTTGATTTCATCCTTATGGTTTGATTTCCTACGGATTTTGTGTTGTTTCTTTTTATTTTGGAAGAACCAAGGCATAATATTGGAGTTATTATTTTTTACAGGTAAATTGATTTATATTCTTTATTTTACATCGCCCTATCTGGCGACACTGGATTTGTTATCAAAATATTATTATCAATTGGTGTGTATAATATTATTAATATTTAATATTATAGTAAAAATTAGTAAAGTTTTTTTAATCCATACGATCTTAAAATTATATAATTTATAAAACTACATTTTGTTATTGGATGTAGTATTCCAATAGCTCAGTAAAGTTAAATTACTGAGTAAATATTATAAAAAAAAGAAGTTCAATTTTAAACCGAATTAAACGAAAATATTTCAAAATGAATGTTCTGTTACAAGGGATGAAAAATTTAGTACTGAATAAATCATGTAAGTGTCATCTTAAACCAATAATTATAATTTTTAAATTAACATTAGAATTTGTATTTATTCTACTTAGTGGGAGAAACAACTAGATGTATGGCATCACTTTATCAAATGCATAAGACCGGCCCTCATAAAAAACCGATGTTTAAACGGAATCCATTGGGTGACAATCCATTTCTAAAAGGTGTTATACTAAAAACACTAATTAGAAAACCAAAGAAACCAAATTCGGCTAATCGAAAATGTGTCTTGGTGCGATTAAGCAATGGAAAAGAAATGATTGCTTATGTACCTGGTGAAGGACACAATCTTCAAGAACACAACGTTGTATTAGTGCGTAATGGACGGTGTAAAGATTTGCCTGGTGTAAAAATAACATGTGTCAGAGGAAAATTTGATTTACCACACGTTGTAAAAAAAACACAGATAAATTCTTAATTTTATAGAAATATTAGATTATTATCATTTTTTTTTTTTTTTTTTGTACATTAGTCGTTAATAAAATTAAAATATTATATTAGTTTATTTTATTTTATTTCACATATATTTGGTATAACAGTTTATGGGTTTAGTGTCCCAAGTACATATAATTCAAAACAAAGCACTTAGTTCTAATGTAACTTTTTCTAATTTTTTTGGAGCAAGTTCAGTTACAATTTTTAAGGGAGGTGGTGGTCTAATTTTACGGCCAAAACGACCTGTTTTTCTTTGCCACAATCCAGACCGAGGACGATTACCTAATTCACGATTACGATTTGGACTGCCAATATGTTCCTTAAAGTGATTTGCATTTGATATTTGTCCTGAAAACAAATAGTTTATTATAATTTTCAATTTTTTAAGATCATTTAAATTTTAATAATTTGATTCCTATTTATGTTATTTCCATTGGGTATTCGACAATATTTTTACTATTAGATAATTTTCAAATATTTAACTATTTATCAATGATGATTTTATTTCATAACTTAAAGCAAAAAAGGATAACAAAATAATAAAATAAATATCAATAAAAGTTTTGACTTACCAATTGATGCCATACAATGTTTAGAAAGTGATACTTGTAATTTTGATGGCAATTGAATAATGACTCTGTCATCAACTTGTCTCAATATAGTAGCTGTTGATCCAGCTGTCATTACATAATAAGCACCTTCGCCTGGCATTTTTTCAATACAGTGTACTTTTGTTCCCTTAGATAATGCACCGAGTGGATATGCATCTCCTTCATTTGGATTAACTAAAAGTAGGTATGCCAATGATAATTATTTTCAGTTGTATGTAATGTTAATTTATAAAATTGTATAAGATAATGAATTTCAATGAACCTGGAATACGAGGAATGTAACCAGATGTGACTAACATATCTCCAGGTTTCATATTAACAGTTGCAATAATGTATTTTAAATTTGTGCCACAACCAACCAATGCCACTTTAGCTGTTCGACAGCCACACTCTATTATCTCTAAGACACGGTCAATTCGGGGAGCATCATTTTCACCAGTAGGTCCAAAACGTTTTAAATCAACCCAATGGTATTTCTGTTTGATACCACCACCCAAGCCCTTGACAACAACTCGGCCTGGAAATTGAATGATTAAAAATCTTGTAATAATTAATATTTGTTGTCCTAATATTGTTATAAATACCAGTGTCAGGATCTCGGCCAGCTAAGTGTTTATTGTTTAATGGTTTTATGGTGTACTTTTCGGGCCATTCGATTTCCCGTCTGAAGTTCCTGGATTTCGGGCTAGGTAACTCCATGTGTGTAAAATTCCACTTGTGCCTCACCACATTAAAAAGAACCGAATGTACGGTCTTCAACTTCATGGGATCAAATACAGAGAAACGCAAAGACGGCGCTAAAAATGACACTGACATTTTCGCACCTTTAGAATTGATAGATATTATTTAAACTTACTTTTACATCAAATAATACTGGCCAAAATCGTGCCGGTATATATTAAAATAAATTTAGAAGATTTTTAATTTTCTTTTAAATTATTAGACTGATTATATGAAATTATCAATTTTGAAACACATATATGTGTGTTCTGAACCATTTCATTATCAATGTTGACAAAATTAATAACCAAAGAGGTTTGGTACGGTTTGTGTGTATTACATCTTTGACAATGATAAAGCGAATTCATTGCAAATTACAAATTACAATTTAGTATCAATCTACATGAACAATATTATATTATAGTATAAACATTTTTTTATTTTAAATTCTTAATATCTTTAATCTTAATAATCATTTGATTAATTAATTTGTCTGCCACAAAAAAGTAAAAACCGAATTTGTGTTATACTGCTTACTCTGTTGAGGATTGTTTAAGTAATTATTATTATTAATTAATTATTATTCTTTAGATTTTTATCTTGTTTGCAATGGCTCTGAACTATAGTTCCATCAACGATGACGAAGCCTTTTCATTCCGGAATCTTGAAAGGTTTGTAAGATTTATTTGTTATTTAACTTTGTATGATTAATAACATTTATTTTATCAACATTCTTATGATTCTAATTCCTAAGATACTTATCATAATTTTAGTCATTTGTGTAAAACATTTAAATTTCAATGCTTTGATGTCTAGTCTTATGAACAAGACAGTCAAATAAATTGTTACCAATAAACTTTTACCAACGAATAAAAGCTTAGTTATGTGTCTATTTTATTTAAGAGTTGATTAAAAATATTTGAATTTTATCTTATGTTCAATGTTTTAAAATAATTATTTAATAACCATATATAATAGTACAATATTATAATAGTGCATGTTAAATAACAATATTTGTGTTTATTATCTGTATAATTATGTTATTTAGTCGTAATGACGATGTCGAATTGTCAAACAATATAAATTAGAGGTGTTCAACCCGCAGTCCTTAGTAGATATTGATACGGCCCTCACTTCAATTTAAAAACTATTAATTAATTGTATATAATATTACGAGAACAAATTAATCATAAGAATATAAAACTACATAATATTAAACATCAAATAAACTTTAATAGTGTTTAATACTTTTATCTTAGCATAATAGCACGGGCACACATTAATTATACGAATGATTAGTGAATCAACTTGAGCCAATTTTAATAAAATATTTTATTATTGGAGATATGTCCATGGCATAGACCTCTTGTCATTTATCAACAAATAAAAATAAAACACTGTATGTATAATTATTATTAAAAACTATGTGGCCCACAACAACTTCTACCCATTTGATATGGCCCAGACTTCACAATTGGTTGGACACCCCTGGGCCCTGATATATATATACTAAATAGTACCTCATAGTGTTAATCAATCACTGCTTACATTGGAGTAAGTTCAATATAATTTATTTCCATGTTTTTATAGTTGGTTTTTTTTAAATTTTAATTGATGTTTAAACAAATGAAGATTTAAAAATATTGGTAAGGCAATAGGGTTTAGTTAACTTCATAAATTTGAAATGCAAAAAATTAAAAATAAGTATTTTTGATAAAATGTTAATATTTATTATTGTTTGTTTTTTTCAACAAAGAATGTGTTAACAAGAGTTAAATGTTTTTTAAAATTTGTTTAATAATTTGTGTACAGTTAGTAGATCACCTTATTCTTCTATTTATTGCTTTTTGTAAAAATAATTAAATTGTACCCAAGTATAATTTTTTTCAACTTAGTTCATAGTTATGGTATTTTCATGTTAGGCTATAGATTTGATTAATAATTAATATAATTCCAATACCATTTGTTCTATTTTATTATTTTAGAAATGCAAAAATTGAAAAAATGGGACTCAAAATGCCAAGTTTCCGAAAAACAGGTACTACAATTGTGGGTGTAACTACTCGTGACTGTGTTATTTTGGCTGCTGATACACGTGCTACATCTGACACAATAGTTATGGAAAAAAATTGTGAAAAAATCCATTATATTGGAAAATACATGCAGTATGTTAATTTTAAAATAAACAATGTTTGAAAATTAATACATTTGAATTATTTCATTGCTTTAGCTGCTGTGGTGCTGGTACAGCAGCAGATACAATGCAAGTTACTCGCATGGTATCTGCTAATGTTTCCTTGCAAGCATTTAAGTTTCCTGATGAAATGGTTCCTGTAGCATTCGCTGCCAGATCACTTCGTCAGTATCTTTTCAAGTACATGGTAATTCATTCTATATTTAATCAAGTGTTGCTTGTTTATCTTAATTTTTATTTGATTTTAGGGATATGTTTCAGCCGCTTTAATTTTAGGCGGCATTGATAATAATGGTCCACATTTATACTCAATTTATCCTCATGGTTCAATAGATAAATTGCCTTATATATCTATGGGGTCAGGAAGTATGGCAGCCATTTCAGAACTTGAAAGTCACTGGAATGAAAATCTAACAGTAATAATTTTTTAATTTAAATTTATTGCTTAAATCATTGATTTAATATTTAATCAATGCTTAAACTCAAAACCTTAAAATTATTTGGTTTTATTAAATTTTAGGAAGAAGAAGGAATGAAACTGGCATGTGATGCTATTTTGGGTGGTGTATTTAATGATCTTGGTTCTGGAAGTAATGTAGACCTTTGTGTCATTAAAAAAGATGGAACTCGCATGCTCAGGAACTATCTGACACCCAATATAAAACCAGCTACGTACGGTTTTTATTTTTTGCAGTAGTCTAGTCTCAATAACTTAAATCTCTAATTGAATAAATATAAATTTTATTCATGTATTTTTGAATTATTTACCTCAAAATACAAATATAACTTAAAGCACTTAAAGAAAAAGAAAACAAGTTTAGCTATGAAGTTTTTTAAGTTATCGAGACTTGACTGTATTATATAATTTGTAGACATATAGTTGTCTTATAAGTTAAAGTTTTATAAAAACATTTATTTTTTAGTGCCAAATATGTCTATCCAACTGGTTTGACCAAAGTATTACGCAAAAGTGAAATAAAATTCCAAATTGCAGAGGAAACTGTCATGGAAGTTGATGCTTAACATTTTCAATTATATTATGTATTAAAATCCAATCATGAATATTAATTTTATATACATTTTTTAGTTTTTCACAATTATTTTGTATTTTGTTGGCAAAATACATTTTTATTTATGTGAAATACTAATACTACCCAAGTGTAATTAAAATTAAATTTTATATGAAGAAAATATGTTATTTATTTTTTTAATACATTTTTATAAATTGAAATTTATTTTATTTCAAAGATTTAAATTACTTTGAATTGTTACTTCATTATATTAATATGAATGTTGGTCTTAATTTTGAGAGATCTTATAATGTTTATATTAATATTTAATTCTATTTGGTAGATAGGTAAGTACAATTTCTTTATTATATAGATCCAGTAAATAAAATATTTCGAGGATTATAAATTGTTTATAGTGATGATATTATGCAAAGTTGTTGGACAATGTATTTATAATATGATAATGGTATAAAAGAAAAAAAAACCATTAAAGTTAGTATTTAATTCAATAACTTCAAAGATCATAAGAATCGATAATGTTTATTACCTTTGGGATCTTACAATTTATTATGTAGCAAATTAAATGTGTTTACCTATTGCCTTTTATTGGTGTGTAAAAAAATTATTTATTTAATTAATGAAGTTGATGAAGTAGTATATTTTTGTTTTTATTTAAAGTATCGACATTTTTCTCTTATTTTTTGCAATTTAAAATTTTGATTGTAATGAATGAATTTAACTTCCTAAACGTTATTTATTTTCTATTTGTATGAAAAAACAAACAGTCCAAAAAGTTGTCATGAATGTATTGAACACCTATTTAAATTGCTTTATTTATCAAAAAGTTTCTATTTTAAACAAATTATTTATTTATTTATTTTTGTGTCATCACTAAGCAGTAAAAATGTTCTAATCCTAAACTTTGTAGGTGATTTCTGGTAGCAAATTTTCACTTATAGAGTTAAAATACCTAACCTATATCAATAATTGGGGAAGAAAAAGGAAAATAAAGAACTTTTACTCAAGTTCAGACTAGAAAGTACAATTAATTTCTTATGAGTGTTTTAAGTTAAAATGTTAATATTATTGAATACTTGTAAGTGAAATAATTATTTCTCTTCAAATGATGGCTGTTATTTTGCTGAAATTCAAAAACCAATAACAGTAAAAAATTGAAATGTTGATTAATTATTCAAATAATTTTACATATTGATATTTAGTATAATTTTCAAAATATTCTGAATCTTTCTGAGCAATTTATAGATAATTATAAATATAAGGGTTTTAGTTATTTATTTTAATTTATTTCTGTGTATTTCATTTGAAAATGTATAACCTGATAAAAATGCTTGGAAACTGTATAAGGTTCCTTATAAATTGTTCATCTACCAACTAAATAATATCAAAAATTTATGATCACAATAGTATTCTTTTATAAGCATTTTAAGTAAAAAAATAAAATAATAAATATTTACAACATTTTTTAGTTCAAAATATATAAAAATGATTCTTTTTACATCTTATATTTGAAAATGCAATTCAAAATTTCTCATTAGCTTTCTATTTAAAGAAAAAAAAAGTTTATTGGAAATTATTTATGATTATATTACCTACTTTTGATGTTTTATATGTTCATTTTCTATATATTTGACTCTTTTTGAGTTATTTATAACCTATAACAATTTTTTTCTCTCAAAAAGTTTGAAAATTTGATACAATATATAGATCCCATGTAAGTTGTTCATGAGAAGTTAATATTAAAACTAAAAAATCTAAAAAATTATAATGATATTCATTGTTTTTTTTTATAGCACGACGCATGTCCAGAAAAAAAGTGTACTTAATTTTTGTAGGCTTCAAAAAAATGTATTAAAAAAAGCCATTCCTTTCGATGCAAGTTGTCATACACAATAATTTTTAATTATGAAACATAAAAGTTTTATGTAGGTATGTTATTATATTTTATACCTACATATTTTAATGGTTTTTAATTTTATTACTGTAGGTATAAACTGTGGATTTAGATGAACTTAAATCTGTTAACACATAGGAAATAATCAAAATCATATCATTATTTTTATTAATCTAAATCACTCGTCTTTTAATGACTAGTGAAAAAAAAATAGAATGCTTAATTAGTTTAAGTGCAGTTGTTATTGTTTGACTGATGTCGTTGCTATCATTTATTTTTTTTTGTGCTATTATATTTCATGGTTAAAAAAAATGTATTATATTTATTACTAGATATTATATTATAATAAGAGGATGACAACGCATTATTTGTAAATAGGTATTTTCTCTCTGATCTACGCACATCAATACACCATAGATAGTTTGCATTCAGTCAACCATATAGGTATTTAATATTAACTTAAAGAGTAAAGACTTAGAGTGCATTTACCTGGTACTATAAAACTTACTGTTGTAAAATTATCTGTATTGGTACAAAGGTTTTTTTAACCAACATTCAATTTTAAAGCAAGTTATTATGTAATATGAACATAGTTAAATTTTATTATATTAATATTTTAAATTATAGGTATCTAGATAAATAAATTGCATCAAGAATGAAATATCTTAAAAAACACAATGCATAAACACAGACAAATATAAACATGTTTCTAACTTTAACTCAAGTAATATATCAATAAATTCACTGTAATTTGACACGAGATTGATTTTACAGAACGCAAATTTGCTATATTCTGAAGAGAGAAAATTAATAGTACGCTAATCTATATCCTCTTTAGTCTACTATATTTATTATCTGTCAATATAATTTTAGTAGGTATTTTTTTTTAACCCGAAGAAACAGATTGCCTGTTTGGATAACTCTCGTAAATAGTGTGCCAAAAAAATCAATAACAGAATTATCTGAAAAAACGTCCATAAGTTATAATATCATGTAAGTATATGTATGGTGCAATATTCAAGATTGAATAAATTAAAATTATAAAATAAGACAAAAGTACAATGTGATATTAAAAACGACGGTGTACGGGAAATGTTGCATGATCAACAGAACATTGTGGGCATTTAAAAATTCATAGCGAAACAATGTTGAATGAAGCAATGAAGTGCAACGAGGACATTGTAAAAATTGTAATTTGTCAAATAGCTGGTACTTAATAAATGGTTATGTATAATATATGTACAATAGTTGTACTTAAACATTTTTCTAAAAGAGATGCCTTTTAAAGTATTCAAATTAAAGTATCTAGGTACTTTAATTTTATTATATAATTAAAAGAAGAAAAAAAACTGTTTTATTTCGATTGAAAATTATGTTAGGTAGTAATTGTTTTCAAAAAAATTTATAGATTTTTAAATAAAAAAGGACTAACGATAAAAGAATCACTCTGTATATCACCTTGTGATTATAAATAAATGAGTCGATTTCGTGAGCGATTATTAGTGACATTATCTAAAATGTATCGCATATATTATAGCACTGCAGTAGAGGATAAAACAGCGGCTGTAGGTACATGACATATCAATATTAATGATACGATAATAGTTATTGTTGTATTATCTATGTTTTATAATATAAATATTATGAAGATTAATCTACGTAAATGGCTTTCAATAAATAATCAGATAATTTTTAAACGCCATATAATTATGACGTAACTGACAGATATTCGGTGTTAATATACTTTAATCACTGTAATGTTTGACATCGTCTAGACGTACTCATACTAAATAACCACTCTATACTTAGAGTTTGGTGTATACATTATGTACCACACTATACTGACTCGTACCGATTTACTACAGACGATGACGGTACGTTTTTTACTTTGGATACATTGTGTTATTATAACAGATGCCTATCGGGACAGTAACACATATTTTAATGTAATATATTGCATTAAACATGCCACAAATATTATCAGTAAAGAGTTATCAATTCAGCAGTGGACAGTGTTAAATTTCATTTCTATTAGTAATATTGTGGATTAACATGTTTATCAACTAAACAATATTAATCACTTATCTGGTACTATGGAAATTGTATACTTAAATCTATATTTGAGATAATGTATTATCATGTGTAGATAAATTCAAAATAAAGTAGGTATTATGATTTTTAGAATAAATGGTTTCCACATTGTAACATGTTCAATTGTCTTAATTGATCTTATATTGCGACATTTGAAAATAAATTTAATACGTTTTGAATTAGATAAAAAATCCTACAAATTATTAGCAGTATAAAGAATTAGTTTTTGTATATATAAAATATCATATATTATTATCTCGCTTATATCTAGCTAAAACATTGAAATGAATCACAGTATTTAGAAAATTATTTCACGTCTAGAAATTTCAATTGCAAAAATATCTTTGTAAAATAATATAAAACAACATATCTACGGTCCGCTTGTCTTCTTCTCTCAGTCATAAAGTGCTTTTGTCTCGACAATATTAATAAATATTTGTAGATTGTAATTACTATATTAATTTCATTTTCAAGTTTTCAACATAAAATTATTTTCCTAAATATTTTCAATTAACAACCTCTAGTTCTAAATTAATATATTATATTTTAATTTACAGTAGTATAATTAATCATAATTGTATAGCGAAAAACATAACTCTAACTTATTTTAAAATATATATGTAGTTGTTAATTGTTAAAGACATTCGAAATAATTTCCCGTTAGCAATAATTATATTGTACTTATTACATGGCATAATAATATATTATTACGTATAGAAAAACTGTAGCATTCGTCATACAGCAGAGGTGTAAGAGTACCTGAATTGCCTATTTAATGCGCCGTGTTATGATATTTTATTATTTAAATTCTTAGACATAATATTAGAACTTAGAATATATTACAAATTACGATATACTAGTATACGTTTATTTTTATAAAATGAAAAAAAACTATTCTTTATGATAATAGTTAAAATGTTCTATAAAGATATAAAACTGATAAAAAAAAAAAAAAAAATCATTTATATGACAATAATAGTACCTATTGCTTTTTGTGTATAGAATAACGTTATACGAGTATAGGTGTTTAATACAATGTTATATAAACCATATTTTCTATTTCATTTTTATTTTAACAAGAA